GGATATGGGAGAGTGAACAGAAGTACTGTACCACAGACCAAATGTTCTTATTCCAGTAGTGGCCAAAACTGTGATATTCCACCAAGAGCGTGTTTTTTATTTCCTCTGGAATATTTAATACACTTCTGCAATGGTTCAGTGGCTGAGGTAGGTGCATACAGAAATAAATGTAACTTCCTGTGACTCATATGCAGCGATTAATAATCCTCATAACCTTGAATGAGCAACTGGAACCCCAAGAGAGAATAAACTCACTGAGAAGTGAAAGTATAGAGGAAGGAAGGGAGGAGCATAAATGGAACATTATCTTTCTTCATGTAAAAGAACTAAAAGCCATGAAGAGTGAATATAGAGAAGAGAGTATTTCCAAGATAGAAGGGTGCTGGTAGTCAATTATCAGCTGACTACAGAATATGGAAACAAGTAAGAAAGAAAATTGCTTCATCTTTCAATGAAATGAGAGGTATGGCAGAAGTAAAGACAGAACAGAAATTGCTGGTTGAGCACAGTAAGTATGTACTGGTGTAAACATTCCCTTGTAGAGGTGGGAACCTACTCCTTGAATGCACAGAGTAAAGATACAAGTCTAATTATCATCATGAGCTCTCCTCTGCAGACCTTTAACCTGTTGGGAATTTTGATGCTTAGAAGTAGGATCTTGAAAAATATTGCCAGTATCTGTAAATTCATACAGCATTGAGTATTAGAGGTTGTCAATCCTTAGCCCCTTAATCATTTATTATGAAGATAAAAGTGGAAATTGGGATATATAAATATAGCTGCATAGCTGAAATTGTCTAGTATTTATGTTCATATTAATATCGATGTGCAAATTCTCTAATATAAGTTTCTAGCTTCCCAGTAGTTACTTTACCTGTATTACCTGAGGTTTAGAAGTCTGTTTTTCACAGTAGAAGTGTTTTAGAGCTACTTGAATGTGCTGCTTAAACCTTTCAGTCAGTATCTTTTGGTCTTGAGCAACAGCATAGCTCTGTAATAATTGAGAGATGAAAAAATATCTTGTTAACAAAATATTTATGTCCAGTGTGAGCATTATGCTCTGAAAAAAAATAACAGAAATTAACTGTTAAGAGTTGACTTAACACCGCATGCTTTATTTCCTTATTATTTCTCTGTGGATGGAAAACAGAAGGGAAAAGCACACTGGCTTTCATTCGTTACAGCTTCCTAGAAATCCTTGTGACTCTGAAAAAGAGAATTCACTTGTGTGTAAATAAAGCTTATTGACTTGGGAAGCAGGATCATGATCAGTGTTTATTTTACTTAGAATTAATGCCTTGCCCAACAGTGGGTTCCCAATGGTAAGTTCAGGCATCTTGACAATGAGTCAAGTGAAGCAAAACACAGTCCTTTCACCCCAAAGTGCCTGAACTCCCTGATAGCAAGGTAGATCTGCATGCAATAATTGCACATGTGCACAAAAGAGTTGGGCCAAAATTGTGCCTGGGACTGTGTATTTGACACTTCAGAGTCCTAAGCAATGATTTTTATGTTTCCTCTTTTCCATAAAAGATATTCTTGTAGGAAATACAAACTAAAAGCATATGCAACTGTCAAGTGATTGTGATGAAAAGCCAGACAGGTTGCTGAATCTGGCCTTTCAATATTTATTATTGCCCGGATGCTTTTAAACAGCACTTTAGAAGCAGTTGAAATTATTCCAATGTAGTGCTTTATTGTGGCCCTTACTTCTAAAATGAAATCATAGATTTTACAGACTGTAGGAGTAGATTTTAAAAAAATAAAATTCTCTTTTGGTGGAAAGATCCTCTAAGACAGATGGATTTTTTTTTAATACAAAACTAAAGTAAAATGACCCACACTTCCTAAATGAAGTGAACCTGAATTTCTTTAGAGAGGCTTGTTCTATTTCTGCATGTCAGTTAAACCGACCTAAGTTTGCTGTGTGTATTTCTCACACTGTTGCACTTCAAAAACCCAAGGGCTTTGTGCTGCATTAGTTGAACTGTTTGCTTTTTGCTCCCCCACTGTGAATTACAAACCTCCCTCTCTATTCTGGGAGAGGAAGGAAATTGGTATATTGAGAATAAAGAATCCAGCACTGTAAATAATGTGTTTTGGGGTTTTGGTTTAGTATCCACTCAGATGTCTGCAGAAAACCATGGTGATCTTGGTGGTGGTAGACAAAAAATAGTCTAGAGACAGCATGTCTAGATAATTTAATCCAAAAAGCAGGGCATACAGCATAACTAGTTCCCTAAGAGAAAATGGAAATGTGGGCAGTAAATAGTTTTTATGGCTAGATGAACCTGGATAATTTTATGTAGATGAGACAGGAAAAACAAGATCCAAATGGAGAGGAACTCTTTGGATATTTCAGGTCAGGCAGAAGCCTTAAGGATGGGGTGCATTCCCCAAGTCTCTCCTGTGTCTATCTGTGTGCCATAAACAGAGAGGAGTAAAACTGCACTTTAGTTCCACTGAGCTAATCAACCTTCCTGCAGGAGGGAGCTTATAGTGTGTGCTGCTTATGTGGGAAATTGCCAGCACACATATACTTGATTAGCCAGCATATTATGAATCAGGGTCATAGCCGGAGTAGTTGCTTTGTTCAGAGATGCTCAGATCCCTCGGGTAAACAGCTAATTGCAGGAAATCTTTTAAAGCAAATGTGTGATAGGAAGAAAGCAATGAATATTGTTTATTCAAAAGGCAGGAGTGGTTCCTTTGAATCAGTTCTCTTGCATAATTATGTAATTAGGGCATGTTCTATTTTTAATTAAGTCTCCTGCATATTCATGAAAATACTCTGAACTTGTAGATCAATTGGCATGACTCTTTAAAATGTAGTTTATATAAAGGAATGCCCTTCAAATCTTTTTTTTCCCCCTTCATATTACTGTGCAAACACATATTTCACATTGTTATAGTTAGGCTGTATCACCTGTCAAAAGTAAAATATTATGGTAAACCATCAATACAAAATTTCCAGAGAAACGTTTTAAATGGAGATGAAGAACACAAGAAGCTGCTACTCTGAAATACTAGTATCAAAATTGTTTTTTGTTGTACAGCTTGACCTTGTAAGATACCAATCAGTGTGTGGAATTCAGTAAGTATACTTCATTTCCCTCAGCTTTTCAAATCCAACAGTAATTCTCTGTATTTGCAGTCTGCAGACTATCCATGTTCCTCTAACTTTGTTTTGTTTCTTGTGGGCTTCTGTGGCTCTTCCTGTTCTTCTGCCTCTTTGACAACAGCATTAGCTTTGATTCCTCTTCCGACTTCCTGCTTATTCTTAGGAGTCTTGCTTTCTCACCCGACTCTTGTTCTCACATCTGCCATTCTGTAGACTTGCTCAGTGCTGTATGTGAGGGCAAACAGATGTAAGCTGTGCTTTCCTTGAATATTTTTAATATTACCATTTAAGTGAGGCTGCACATTTTGATTTACCACTATACCTGTGTATGTTTCCATTAGCTTATGATTCATACCCTGTACGTACTTCAGGGTTACACAAGGCAGCAGGACTAGATGGTCTTTGCAGGTCCCTTCCAACTGAAGAGTGTTATTCTATTCCATGTGGAGCTCAGATGATAATGCACCATAATGTAACTCTTTCATAAAGATAGGTTGTCACTATCCCCTGATGATTTACAATGTTCATTTTACTTCTTTGCTATATTTAAGAGTTTTCTTTCACCTCAGACCTCTTTCACCTTCCTCCCAGATCTCAGGGCTTAACTTCTACCTAGTGGAACACAACATAAAGAAAATACTGTGGCTGTGCCTGCCTTTCTAGCGAGAGTGGAGATGAAACTGGAAGCTGAAGCAAAGAAATAATTCTTGTGACAAGTGTCACTGAGTTCTCACAGAAGTCTGTCTTTTCATGTGTAAACCTGGAGAAGAGTAGGGATTTTTCACTTAGTTCCATGTGGAATAAAGACAAGGGCATTGAAATATATTAGCAGCACACACTGAGCCGTAAGGGGGGGCCCAGCCTTTACCACAGCGTTCGTCCTTCAGCCTGTTTCCTGCGTTGTGACTTGCTCCATGAGCCACCGCATGCTGTGGAGCTCTTCATGTGCATTTCATAGAATCATCAAGGTTGGGAAGAGACCTTGAAGATCATCCAGTCCAACTGTCCACCCATCACTGCCACTGAAACCTCTAAACCACATCACCCAGCGCCAGATCCAGACATCCCTTAAATACCTCCAGGGATGGCAACTCCACCACCTCCCTGGGCAACCTATTCCAGTGCCTGACTACCCTAACAGTGAAAAATTTTTTTCCTAATACCTAATCTGAATCTCCCTTGTCTCAGTTTAAGGTAATTTCTTCCGGTCCTCTCATTGCAGGCACGGTAGAAGAGACCAGCTCCCACCTCACTATACCGGTACTTTCAGGTAATTGTAGAAAGCAATGCGGTCCCACCTGCGCCTCCTCGAGTCTGAACACCCCCAGCTCTCTCAGTCCTTCCTCATAAGATACGTTTTCTAAGACCTTTCATGAGCCTTGTTGCCCTTTGATGGATATCCTCCCGCACCTCAATGTCCCTTTTAAAGTGGGGAGATTTTCCCAGACGCGTTCGACTGAGACAGAGGCATCAGTTTCACGAGTCCTGCAGTCACCAAAACCCTGAACTTTTTTCCACAACACTGGGCTAAAAAAAACAGCGCAAAGAGCATCAGCACCGGTGCCCCGCTCTGGAGCGAAACGACCCCAAGTGTCAGGGAGGGCGCCCCGAGGAAACGCCGTGTTCTGCTCTCCGCTGACATAAGCTTCGGGCAGACAAGGCCCTATCGAGGTCTAGCAGCCTCGGGGATGCACCTGAGCCCTTGACATCCCTCGGGAGCATCCATGTCTGCGCTGCCCCGCTGCCGGGGGCAGGGATGACGCCATGGGTGGGGGGCGGTGGGAAAGAAGGGCGCGCGGGCGCTTGTGGGAGAAGGGGGGGAGCCGCCATGTCAGGAGGGGTGGGAGGGAGGGAGAGGAGCGCGGGGCGGGACAGGGGCGGCGGCCGCAGCAGCAGCAGCAGCAGCGGGGCGGTGGTGGCGGCTGCCGGCAGCTGTCAGCCCCCGCTCCGCCGGCGCCCACCGCCCGCCTGTCACCGCTTCGGGGGGGGGGGTGGAGGAAGCACTGAGTGCGCCGAGGTGCTGACCCGCTTCCTTCCTTCCCTCCCTCCCTCTCTCCGGTCCTTTCTCTCCCCCCCAAAAAAACCCTTTTCCTTCCTCCCTTCCGCCCGCCCATCGCTGACATCCTCCTCCGGCCGCCTCCCCGCCCCGGGCTGCGCGGCCCCCGCCGCCCCAGCGAGCGCTGCGCACATCGCCCGAGCTGCAGCACCGAGCGGTGAGCGGGGGGAGCCGCCCGGGCCGGGGGCGGCGGGCCGGGGCCCGGGCGGGGTGTGTGTTTGGGTGCGGGTGTGCGCGGCGTTTAATTCTTTCGCCTTCTCATCCGCCGCTGCGCAAACAACAAAAGGCTGCGCGGGCCGCCGGGTCCCCCCGCAGCGCCGCCGCTGACAGCCGGCCCCGTCCTTCCCCGCGCCCAGGGCGGGGCGCGTTTCTGGGGAGGCTGTTTTTGGGGGCGTTTTGTGAGTTGCGCTCAGCGCTTTGGCTGTGGGGAAGGGGATGTCCCCCGAGATGGGGATCGGCTCGGCTTTGTCCCCGTTTCCTCTCCCTCCCGGCTCCCCTCGGTGCTGCGGCGGGCGCCGCCCTGGGAGGGAGCGGGGTGAGCCGGCCCTGCGGCTCCGGGCGTGCGGCGCTTTGTCTGCGCCTCCCCCGGCCCAGGGGGGTCATTCTGCTGCCGGTTCGGAATCGGTGGAAGGCGAGGCCGGGATAGGTCTTCCTCAGGCTTTGTACATAGTGACCGGATTTGTACATTGTAGGTCACCTGCCGTGCTGTGGTCGGAGGCGATTCGTAGACTTGGGACTTGGCCGGGTTTCTACACCTCTAAAATAAGGAAAACATTGATGAGGGATACGTTATCCTAGCAAAAATACACAACTGATTTAAATGATAACTGCATCTTTAGGGCAGACTAATTAGAAAGAGGCTTTAAAACCTTACTCGTTTTGTCTTCGTCGTTCTCGTATTTTTAGGTAACAAGATGCCAGATTTGTAGATCTGCATAGCAGTTGTCTGTAATCACAGGGAGGAACTTCTTGACACCTTATTGAATTCTATGTTCTAGGCACACTGAAGCATATTTTAATGACCAAGGTGGCATCACCTAGTGTGATGCTATCGCCTGACTTTTTGAAGGCTACTAAATCAAATGATGGTGCTGTTACGCTGTTTTTTTTCCCCCTGCTAATGATTTACATCAGGAGATGTGATGTAAATGTAGCATTAATACTCAAATACTGGTCATGGAACCAAAATACAGACTCAGAAAGTAAAACTAGCTAGCAATAAAGTAAAGTCTATTTTTATAGTTTGCTTTGAACAGCAAAATTGCGAGCCAGGGTCATTCAGGATATAAAATGCTTTCATGGTTATACATAAAAATACATAAAACTAAAACGGTTAGAATATAATTTTTAGCAGTTTTGTGATTGGCAGGAGGTTTTGCAACAATTACTCTGCCAAGTAATTGTCTCTTTCACTTCCACTTTTGCATTTGCTTAATAGCAAATGTCACGTAAATAGCAAACTTAGGGGCAAAGGATGTGCATTGGAAGCTAAAAATGAACCTTCGAGATTTTAGACAGCATTTTAATTAAAAAAAAAAACAAACAAAAAACTGAAAGCAACACCTTTTTGAATGCACAGTTGGTTTAAAACTCTTTTGGAAAATAGCTGTAATTGAGTATGAATTCCAAAGCTTCAGCGAAACACGATAGAGGATATTATAACCCTAGGATTACAGATACAATTGGAAGTTACACATTCAGCATTTACTGGCAGCAGAGAGAAAGCTGATCCATCTGGTGAGTCTGAGCAGAAGACCTTGTAAGTCACTTGCTCAGTAATTTTTGTGACCACATGGTTTAAGAGGACCTTTTCCCTGAAATTACAACGGATATGGAGAACTCTAACAGTTCCATTGGGATACTCGTTTTATATAATGCAGATGCATTTGGGTAAATGCAGGTAATCCAAATGGTCTGTTCCTGAAATTTGCCAATCAATGCAGTATCACTTCTGCATCATGTTGCAGTTAAAGTTTGGCAACCGTCATGTTTCTGAAGGATGATGATGGAGCTGGACAATTCTAGTAATCAAAAATTTTAATAGCAGTTCAAACTTAGATTCCCTTCACCTACTACCATATGTAATTAAAAAAGAGAATAAAGTTGTCCTCCAAGGGTCTTGTGAAATAGCCTCATGTACTGTTTGTCAAATCCCTATGATATGCTTAACAGTGCCTTTGTTAATGGAAAGAAATTTTTTAAAAGGTCTGTGTTTGACAAAAGAAGAATCACATAGACAATTTTTAATTAAATATGCAGGAGTCCAGAATACAATCTTCTGAATGTTTTTGACATACAAGATTCAAAATACGCTGTACAGAAACTTTAGGCATATAAGGGCAATTGCTGCTTCCTGCATTTATGAAGAACTTCCCATATTAATGTCAGAAACACATCACTTCTGTGCTGCTCATACAGTGCACATCTCTCTGTGTATCTTCTTGTGTATACACACATACCTATGTATGCCATTTAATTGGGAGTTTGGGGAGATATTGTAGCCTCATATTCAATTCTGAGTCCATTTAATGCAGCTTCTGTTTCTCTTGAGATGTGGGCTTGTGCAGTTACTCTTTCATTTCTTCCTCTGTTTGACTCCTCTGGCAGACATGCAATTGGATTTACCCTGGGATTAACAGCATCACTTCAGAGGCATAGCTCATGATTATGTTAAAACTCAATTTGGTGTACAAATACTTGTAAAATAATGTTTTTGTAAGAGGAGCGACAAATATGGAAATTCGGGTAAATTTGTAAGTAAGCAGAATATACTTCTGTATTTAATGTTGAAGAGCAGAGTAACAGATAGTGATGGGGACAAGCGTGCTAGGTCTAGTTAAATAAACATCCTTTGTAGCCAGTCTACCTCCCGGGTGTTGTTCAGTATGACACAACTATTATAAAAATGGACCAATTCCATCATCATTGCAATAAAATGAGTAGTCACAGGCTTTTCTCTTAATTCAGCCTCCATAATACTTTGTGTTTTCTAAGTATTTCTATTTGTTTTCTAAGAACATTATGTTTACCGTGGCCAAAGTTTAGAAAAATATTTATTTTTCAATGTTAACTCTCATTTTCCTTCGAACAAAGGCATAACAAACATGATGTCTAATACGTACTTTGTTTTAACCAAGTACCAGTCAAAGACAGATTGTTGATTCTGAAAAGAAATCTCTTTGACTTCAAAATAGAACTGGTTGTAATAGTTATCCTGAGTCACAATCAGCTTCAAGTATTTTTGAGGTATTAAGGCTTTCCCAATATTTTCTTTAGTGAAATGTTTTCCTTTCTGAAAGCAGGGTGTAGAAGAAAGTGTGATTCTTTTGAAAAATGCCTTGATAAATACCTGACCAGAAAAAGGTGCAGTTATGCTGACTTAGACTTGCTAAAATGCTTTTGTTGCCATCATTTTACAGGATTTAAGTTGGGCACTTTGTTATGAGGATCAGAATCAGAATTACTGATGCTTGCAATGATAGAGGAATTATTTCCATAGGGTTCTGTGTGAGGTGCTTTGTAGTCATCAGGCATAAGATGACACTATATTTGAGGTTCTTTTGTGCTAGACAATTAATATACTTACTAATGACTAAAGATGTGTTTGTGCTTCTAGTACCCATGATATGTTTGGGAATGTGAATGAAGGGTGAACACTAAAGCACAGTTAACACTAGATATGCTAATTTCTGTTGATGTATAGAGAAAATTAATGTGTGGTAGTTGACAGTTTCTTCAGATTCAGTTGGCTAAGAAAACAGATGCAAGTAATAGTATCTGTGTGTTGATTTAATCACTTTTTGTTTCTTTGAATCCAGCTTATCTCCCAGGGATTCTGCTCTTTAACTCTTTTTAGTGCAATCAGGAACAATCTTTACTCTTCATGGAAGCTGTGTTTTGGCATTTTTGTAGAATAAAAATGAGTTTATTTTGTCAAATTATTGTTTGTTGTTTATGTTTCTTTTTCAAAATTAGGAAGTCATCTTATGTTCCAAATATGCTTTCCCTCTATCTACTTAAATGTACAGATTTTGTATATGATTTCTCAACATCAAGTCGTGCTTACAGGTAAAAGCAGTAAAATACCTTTTGCAGATAGACTAAAAAGCGAGCAGTTTCCTATTTTAGTTCTTTTAGATTCTGCCATAAACCCCATTCATTGTGTTTAGATTTTGTTTCTGGGATTATGTCGGAACTATAACTGATTTTATTAAATTTTAAAGTGACTAGAGCAAAGGATGTAACCAGTCTAGTAGGTAGTGCAGGCTTCCTTACATATCTGTAGGGTTGGGGTGTGGCTAATTATACTCATCTTACTGTGTGATGTACCCCGACAAACCATTTGAAAAGTTAACGTTGCACTTATTAATATTCAGAAGTTCAAGAAATGTCTGATGTAAACCAACTTTTTGGTACTACTTAAAAAGTTGTATCTACAAGTTAGTCTTTTTAAAGGACAATACTTATATTTCTCAGAATTATCAGATAACTGTTTATCTTAATTCTTATCAGTGTTTGTATGTAGTAGTTAAGTAGTTAAATGTTAACAAAAAATTAAGATTGCTGGCAGCGTGGTATTATTTGTATGTGTGCCACTCCACAGTGCAGAGCGTGGTGGTTTGAAGCTTTGAGTAAGGGATTGCAGTAACTGCATTCCTCCTGTATCTTGAGTTTGCTCCTTCCAGCTGACAGCAGCTGAATGATTTGCAAACCATGTCATACAGATTAGGGACTGGCAGGGGAGGAGCACAGTTGTGTTGGGGTGGTTTATTTTTTTCCTGAATAGAATAGTGTGTTTTAAGATTAAGTGCTTTTGTGGATGTTCCTTTATCAAACAATGGGTGAATAGCATAGGGAAGTCATGGTTCTGTCTTTCTCTTCTGGTCTGGGCAGCTTCCATTTCAGAGAGGCTGCTGTTACCTGTCATCCCTCCTGTCTTCGGCAGGTGTGGGTTTTACTGTGCCCCCGCCTTTAATGTTTCATTTGTTTGTGTGCTTAAACTGGATGTTCCTCCTTGCTCCCTGCCCCCAATCGTATTTAGTGTGTGTTTGGAGGGAGGAGGGCTGATTAAAGATGTGGGATTCCTCCCTGCCCCTCAGTGCAGAGGTTGGCAGTGTGTAGTCATTTTAATGCAACTAGTGGGATGGTCATCTGTGA